TTGGGACAATATAACAGCACGGGTTGCACACCTTGTCAGATGAGTCCTCAGTGCCCTCGGGCAATGGACTGGCATTCTCTACCAAGGTTGACCTCCCTTTATCTTCCACTGTCACCACCACTGGTTTGGTTTGGAGTGTAGACATGTTCATCATGCACAGGTCCGTGCTCTCAGGAATGAACAATGCCGACTTAGGTAAGTGGGAGGGGGTAATGTATATACTAGGGTCAAAAGGGACGGCCAGTGTGTGGATGAGGTTTATATGCCGGGGTGGAGGGACTTGGTTATGTGGTGGGAGAGGATTTGTAGTGATGTTGGGTTTTTCAAGAGGTGTTATCACCTTATTGTCAATGAGATCTTGAATCTCATGATGTAGTCTGAAGCACTGATCAGTATCATGACTATGCCGTTGGTGAAAAGCACAGTATTTGGTCGGGTTGTGTTTCGAAGGGAGAGGATCGGGTAGTGGGCGTTGTTCTAACGGCTTAAGATACCCCTTTTTGATTAGGACGCCTAAGGCTTTGGACAGAGTCATGTAGAGGGACGACCCTTTGGTTTCAGGCTTGATGGCTCGAGGTTTGTGAGGTTATATTGGATGTACCGGCAAAAGGGGTGGCAGTTTTGGGTGTGGTGGTGACCATGCTCACATCTGAAGGCTGTGCCGAGGTGCCACCAGTCGTGGCTGCATTGGAGCTATGTGTAAAGGGCCTTTTAGGCTGTTCCTTCTCATGGTCTATCAGCCCCTACTTCATCGCATCCTCAATTTGAACCCCTATTTCATGGAACTCAACAAATGTAAACAAAGGTAGAACTATCATATTCTGTAATAACCTCCCTTGCAAGTTACGGACCACCATTCTGATTTGGTCCTTTTCAGATGGCCTGATAGTCATCATAGAGGCCTTAGTCCTCCATCGGGTTACAAAGTCCGAGAAGCCTTCCTTCAGCTCCTGACGGGTCGCTTCAAGATCACGGGTCGTGATCTCAATCTGGGTATTGTAGGAGTACTGCGTGATGAAGGCCTCGGCCATTTCCTTCAAGTTTCTCTTCACATAATCTTCCAACTTTGTATACCAGATGGACACTATACCCGACAGGGTCCGGCCAAAAAGCGACAACTTCTGCAATCTAGTAAGACCCATTGGTCGTAGGATATCAAAGAATAAACGCAAATGGACCATAGGATCCCCGGAGCTGTCAAACTGGTCTATATGCGGCATCTTGAATCTGTCTGGCAGAGTCACTACCGAGTCAATGTATCCATCCTCAATATCAGGGATTGAATTCACGTCCTACACTCGTTTAAAGAGCTTTTCTAGCTTGTTGACCGTCAATGTAGTGGGGTCAACCTCGAATTCAAACGACGCCTCTATTTGGTAAATTGGTGCCTTGGAGGTCTGAGGTGGGATCGAATCTGCCGGGATGCCCATATTCTCTTGGACGTTGGTTGTGACCTCAGGTGTCGGAATACCAGCTGGGGGTGCATGAGATACAGAGGCTACTGCCGGTTGGGGTTGCTATTGCTAAAACCAATCTATCACATCTGCCTGGCGGGCTACAACCTCGACTTGGCGAGTTGTGACCTCAGCTTGGTGGGCAGCATCTAGCTGCATAGTCTCAATGGTCTGTTGGAGCTGACTAGGGATGTTGAGCTATCAGAACTGGCAAATACTCTCTTTCGGGAGTAGGAGTAGAAGATTGGGCCTGACTGCGCGCAACCGAAGTAAAAGGTGACTGCTGGATTGGTGAATTCTGCCTGATCCTCCTCCGTTTGGTAACTAGTGGGAGTGAAACAAACACTAGTTATCCCCTGACAAGATCCCCAGATTTGTAAATCCTTCTCACTCGGGTCTAGAGTGCTTGGGGGTAACAAAATCGTTTGAAGCAATGGTGAAAAACTACCTTGCAAAAAGAAATAAAGCAAAAGAAAGCAAAGCTCAAAAACCGCACAGCACCTCTACTCAGATTCTAATCAGTACACTGATGTAATCAAAGCTATAGAACCATGCTAAAAACTAAATTCCGCCTCCCAAAAACTGATACCCAGGCTTGTAACTGATACATACATTCCTGTAGAGTCTCACTCTAAAAGCACATAACAGTCAAGTGAGAGCCAAAACATCCCTATGATGGGGGAGGGTTACCCTATCCTAGTTTCTTCAGGAACTAGGGTTTCACTATGCAGAACAAGCGGTTTCACACAATTTCTGTATTCGGGTAAGCAACATGTCCTAGTTTGGAACAGTCTCTTTGGTTTCTGATATGCAACTAGGTTGATTGGTCAAAAAGGGTACCTCAACAAGACTACCTAATATACCTCTTGCACCTAACATTGAGAAGTGAAAGGAGGATCAAACGGTACAGCGGTAGTCCAAATCCAAGGGTTGTGTTCCCATCGTGGCAGAGCCCGCAACAAGTCAGCCTTTTGGCAAGCTTTTCTAAGCAAGCCTCCGACAAACCGTTCAGGAATAGCAGATGGCAAACACTGTGACTTAGGCGCACCGATGCAAATGCAAATGCAAAGAAATACGTAAGTGTAGATAAAATAACATATCATGAGTTCAAGTGAAGTTCTCTAACTTCTCAATAGAGTCGCCAGAAACTGTGGCTCACCTTTTTTGTGCCCCCCTTTTGGCCGGTTTGAAAAGAAAGGCCTCATAGTTTGGACTCCTATGGTTCTGAATCTAATCTCACAGGTGCAATGTGAAACTGATAAACACCTAAGAGTCCAAATCCAGCAAATCATTTTGGAAAAGTAATTTTGAATCAAATAATGCCAAAATTGGGCTGGTTTCCCAGCAGAGTCGCCACCTAAATATTTTTTTGTTTTGGAAAAATTTAGGAAACCTTGACTCATGCCGAAGGCCACGTGTTCGTCATCACCAAAGTTACCTGGGCTTGGGAACTTAGGTACGAGAGGGGAAAGTCATGAATTGAGCACCCATACTCGCCCGATCAAAGATCGGCCTCTACTAATCAAGATATGATTTTTTATAAACATTATGTGCTCTTATTCCAGTTATTAAGCTAGCATTACTACGTGATGTGCACAAGCAAGTGTAGACTAGTTTGCTCAATTTGGAACAATTCAATTCATGTTTGTTTGCAAAAATGGTTTGAATTTGCCACCTTAAGTGGGCTTAAAGTTTGCGGATTTGTCACCAAACATAGTGGGCTTAAAACGCACATTTGTTGAATTGTTCCAATTCAAACAACAAGCCTTCATCCACAGGCATTCATTCAGTTTAGCAAGTAACACTACTAAAAATCAGACTTTTTGCGACGGTCTCAAACGTCGCAAAAGGTCCACATACCATTGCAAAAGACTTTTTGCGACGGAGTAGCGATGGGAAATGGAGGGTGGCGGAAGGGGGCATGACAAAAAGTATTTGCAACGGTTACAAACCGTCGCTTTCTTGTAGTAACGGCTAATCAATGGTTTTTGCGACGGTTTAACCTGACACAAAAGAAGGGAAAAAAACTTAACTTTTAGTGACGATGTTGGTTGCCGTCGCCAAAGCTTTTTGGTGATGGTATTTGACATCGCAAAAAGTATTATTAGCGACGATCTAAAACGTCGCAAAAAAAATAGAATTAAATTAATATTGTATTTACGACAGTTTAAACCGCAGCTAAAAATTTGAACTAATATGCATATGCGACATGTTAACCCATCGCTAATAAATTGTAATAAAATGATGATTACATTAGCAACGATTTATTATTGTCGCAATAAAATTATTTTCATAAAATCAATATATATTTTATTAATTCATTCCCTACACAAATTATTAATATTTTTAAAAATAAAATACATCCACATTCACATTCACAAAATCATACCAAGAATGATATATATGTACCCTGTAACAATTGTCAACCAAATATTCTTTACAAAAATATATAAAACATCCTTCAACAATACTAATAATTTTTTATATTCAAGAACTCAAATTTTTGTATCTAAAACAACAAAACAAAAGTATCAACAATACAAATCAATAAAAAAAAACATATATATTATAGCTTGTTTTGATATCAATAGTAAGTTCCAATATCGATATGCAAAGACATCATCACGTAATCAAAAGGGTTGCATCTACAAAAAGAAACCCAAAAAAAAAATAAAAATAATTATAAAAATCACCATTTACAACATAATTAAAGAAAACTTCTATTTATTCCAGACTCCGTTTGTTTTGATGTAAAATAATTTACAATGAAAATAATTTCACGTAAAATAATTTACATTCATTTTGTTTTTCAATGTTTGCTTGCAACTCTAAAAACATTTGTTTCTAAACAGTAACATTTTTTATCCTATGTTGTTTGTTACATCCTCCCACCCCACTTCAATAGCCCGCTTTATCTAAGCAAGCATTTCTAATTCATTATTAAAAAGAGAAGAATGATTGAATCAATTTTACGGATATATATGAATATACTATGTATATATGAGTATCAAAATCAAAGAAATAGTGAAGAGAAATCGGAATGGAATGGGTACCTCGAAATGCTTGGATTTTCAGAAAGACAATTGGAGCGATTGACTGGTTGTCCAGAGTGTGGCGATGATCAAAGAAAACTCTGACTCATCGTTTGCTCTCATCAAAAACATATAGAAAAACAAATACGCATAAAAAATCAAAAAGAAAAAAGAGATAGTGTTAGATTGTTTGGTAATATAAATAAGAATAGTTTAAATAAGTTGATTATCCAAAATTTGAGAGGGGTGCTTAAAAGACCAACCAAAGTAATTTTCATTTGTAATAACACACAATATATATACTTAAAAATGTTCTCACCTAGTTCCCATCATCCTATATTATTGGTTAGTAATATTACATGTCACTCTTGACATGATATCTTGGCATAAGATCTATTTTTTTACTCTAATGTTGGGATAGATTTAGGACAAAAAATAGTGAAACAAAGAATCCTTAACCAATTTCGACATAAAATGAGATTTCAAAGAACAAAATGAAAAATATTAACCAACATTGAATCAACATCTATTTTACCACATGCATAAAAATCATCCTAACACAGAACTACACCAAAATAACTAAACTAGAATAAGAAACATCTCTAAACCCCATTTCCAAATTTCTACCAACAGATCAACAAAATAATGAAAACCATTGAACCTCACAAGATCTTGCTATTTCTTGTGCTCATCCCTAGCCACAATCTTGAACTTCCCTGTTTGTTGTTGCTGCAAAACAAAAACAAAACATCCAAAAACCCACATTAGACAACAATTTCAATCACCCAAGAAAGAAAAAAAGAAACAAATTAGAACCCATTCATTAACCAAAAATTGGGTACCTTCTTCCACAACTCAGTATGGTCTTTACAGAACCCAGCAACAACACAACCACCCCCACTGTTCCTCCCTCCTTCTCTATACACAATACAAAGCTCTTCCTTGGTCTTTACAAAATCTCTTTTCATTTGCCAAACTATATTCTAATTTTTCAAAACAAATTCAGAAAACAAGTTCTGAATTTTAGAAAGGTAAAGCCCTAAATTTTAGAAACTGATCCCTAGTCAAAGGCCCCAATTTTCTTCCATGAATGAGACACCCCAAAAAAAAAAAAAAAAAAAAAACCCTAAAAAATAAAAATAAAAAAACACAGCACAAGCATTAAAACAAAGGGTAAAGCAATGAATCCATGGAAACCATAGTGAGAAACATCAAAGCCCACAAATGTAATTAAAAACCCTAGAACCCCCTTAAGCAATTATAGCCAAGTAGTTAGTCAAATTCAAATTTCACAACCGCACAAAACTTGAACCAAAATTAAATAAACCCAAATCCCATCTTCAGTAACAGTTGAGTAACAACAACAAATCCATTGAAACAAACATTCAGATCATAATTCGCACCATCTCTTGACCACCAAAAACACCTTCCCTCATCACAGCCCCACAAACCTCTCTACTACCAAAATCCTCTTCAATGGCTAACCTCTCTACCACGAAAACCACCCTTACCCTCCGCCTCCTCCCCTACCAACAGCCCATATCCCCCTCCTCTCCTACCAACAACCCATATCCACCCACACCACCCTTCAATATCGAAACCCCCTCCTCCTTCCCTACCACGGATTTGCTATCCGCATCCCCACCACAACATTGCCACATCCCTGCCACGAAAAATCCCCCCCACCCTTCACAAACATACCACCAAAAAAAGGAAGATAGAGTGGTAGAGAAAGAGTAGCCATAGAGACATACCTGTGAGGCAGAGAAACTGCTGCTTGGCCACAGATCATGAAATGAGAACAATATGGAGCACTAGGGTTTTATTTGAAGTCTATGCCAAAATGATGGAGTTTTGGACTGCATAAAAAATATCTCTAGCTTATACTAAAACACCAGAAAAAATAATATTTATTTCAGCTGAAGCATTCGTGTTTTAAAACCACATCATTTTATTTTGATATTTATAGAGTTTTTAAAAAAATTCCAAGAATTATATCATAAATTATGAAGCTTGTTGAAAAATGCCAAGAATAATTTTGTTTTTTAGAGTTTTGCGGAAACATTGGAAAAAAATGGCAAGAAAAGTCTTTTTTGTTGTAGTGAGTTTGTTGAACCATAAAATTATACTTTGGGCTTTGTTTGTTTTACAAGAAACATTAGAAGGAAAGAGGGAAAAAAAAAAAAACAGTTTCTTGAACAAAAAAAATCAGTTTATTGAACCAAAAAAAAAAATTCTTTTACCCAGCCAAAAAGAAAAGAAAGAAACAGAAAAGCACATACACATTTTACATAAAAAAATGCAATGGGTAATGTACAAAAATAAAACTTTTTGTGACGGACTAACAAAGGGTGTCGCAAAAATAAAACCTTTTGCGACGGACTAACAAACAGCGTCGCAAAAAAATACAAAAATCGCAAGACGAAAAAAAGATATTTACGACAGGTAATGTACTGACGCGTATAACATTACTTTTTGCCACGGTTTTGGATTTTCTGTCTCTAATAATGATATTTATTCGGTCCCTTTTTTGCAACAGTCAATTGGCACCGCAAAAAGATCCTTTTTGCGACGACTTTCAAACCGTCGCAAAAAGTTCCGTGTCAAAAGCCCCCTTTTCTAGTAATGTAAGCACATAGCCTCATGGAAAGCATGCTAATCATGGCAACATTCACATTCATGCAAGTACACTAAAGCGTAAAAACTCACATAGTACTCCGAGCTAAGGAGATATGAGTTAGAAAAACATGCATGATTCCTAACTATACAAGATGTCTAATGCAACACATGCAATATGCAATTAATAGGCTCGACTACTAATATGACATATGGATCGCTTTGAACAACATGTGATTAAACACGTTTTCAAATAAGATATTGAAATGGCAATGCAGTTTGAAGGATGCGCTGAGCCTCGGTGCATGCAATACAAGATGAATGGATGCAAGCATGCAATATGCTAATTGAAATATGTCCCTAAACTAACCATCAAAAGTGACTAAATAAAAGGGAGAAAGACGTGGGGTTGGAAAACATACACACGCACGCACACTTATTACAACATTATGCCCTCACGAAGGAGGGTCTGAATGAATAAGAGCTAACTAGCTATCTAATTATACTAATCTAGTTAAACTAATTAGACTAATTATTACAAGCCAAATGAATAACTAGCTAAGCTAATTACTAATTATTTACAACACTTTTAACTAACTAGTAAACTAATTAATTATTTTACAACACAAATGCACACAAACTAAGCATTTAAGACATTGAACTATGCTGCCACTGCTCCGCCTCGGGAAGTGGAAGATGTACATGCTCGGTTTTTGCCTGAAAAGACCTCTGTTTTGCTCTCAAAAGCCTTTGTTTGCAAGGTTGAGAATTTCCAGAACCTTTCTGCTCCATCTTACCAAAATATGTTGAGGTTTACATCAGTGGCCTGCCGGCCATGGATGAATGCTACTAGCCATCTGTTGGCCAAGAAGTTGGTATGCCGGCCATAAATGGTGCACTGCCGGCCATGGACAAATGCCTGCCAATGTCACGGTTCTTAATCTGATCCCACAATGTGCGATGTGAGATTGATAAATCACCAAAGAGTCCAAATCTGGCAAATCATTTTGGAAAACTGATTTTGAATCAAATAATGCCAAAATTGGACTGCTTTACCAAATACAGAGTTGTCACCTAAATATTTTTTTATTTTGGGGAAATTTAGGAAACCCTGACTTGTGCCGAAGGCCACGTGTCCATCATCACCAAAGTTGCCTCGGCTCGAAAACTTAGGTATGAGAGGGGAAGGTCATGAATTGAGTACCTCTGCTCGCCCGATCAAAGATTGGCCTCTACTAATCAAGATATGATTTTTTATAAACATTATGTGCTCTTATTCCAGTTATTAAGCTAGCATTACTACGTGATGTGCACAAGCAAGTGTAGACTAGTTTGCTCAATTTAGAACAATTCAATTCATGTTTGTTTGCAAAAATGGTTTAAATTTGCCACCTCAAGTGGGCTTAAAGTTTGCGGATTTGCCACCAAACATAGTGGGCTTAAAACACACATTTGTTGAATTGTTCCAAGTCAAACAACAAGCCTTCATCCACAGGCATTCATTTAGTTTAGCAAGTAACACTACTAAAAATCGGACTTTTTGCGACGGTCTCAAACGTCGCAAAAGGTCCACATACCATCGCAAAAGACTCTTTGCGACAGAGTAGCGACGGGAAATGGAGGGTGGTGGAAGGGGGCGTGACAAAAAGTATTTGCAACGGTTACAAACCATCGCTTTCTTGTAGTGACGGCTAATCAATGGTTTTTGCGACGGTTTAACCTGACACAAAAAGAAGGGAAAAAAACTTGACTTTTAGTGACGATGTTGGTTGTCGTCGCCAAAGCTTTTTGGTGACGGTATTTGACAACGCAAAATGTATTATTAGCGACGATCTAAAACGTCGCAAAAAAAATAGAATTAAATTAATATTGTATTTACGACAGTTTAAACCGCTGCTAAAAATTTGAACTAATATGCATATGCGACATGTTAACCCGTCGCTAATAAATTGTAAGAAAATGATGATTACATTAGCAACGATTTATTATTGTCGCAATAAAATTATTTTCATAAAATCAATATATATTTTATTAATTCATTCCCTATACAAATTATTAATATTTTTAAAAATAAAATACATCCACATTCACATTCACAAAATCATACCAAGAATGATATATATGTACCATGTAACAATTGTCAACCAAATATTCTTTACAAAAATATATAAAACATCCTTCAACAATACTAATAATTTTTTATATTCAAGAACTCAATTTTTTTTTATCTAAAATAACAAAACAAAAGTATCAACAATACAAATAAATAAAAAAAAACATATATATTATAGCTTGTTTTGATATCAATAGTAAGCTCCAATATTGATATGCGAAGACATCATCACGTAATCAAAAGGGTTGCATCTACAAAAAGAAACCCAAAAAAAAAAAATAATAATTATAAAAATCATCATTTACAACATAATTAAAGAAAACTTCTATTTATTCCAGACTCCGTTTGTTTTGATGTAAAATAATTTACAATGAAAATAATTTCACGTAAAATAATTTACATTCATTTTGTTTTTCAATGTTTGGCTGCAACTCTAAAAACATTTTTTTCAAAACAGTAACATTTTTTATCCTATGTTGTTTGTTACATCCTCCCACCCCACTTCAATAGCCCGCTTTATCTACATCTAGCAGAACTCTAATTCATTATTAAAAAGAATGATTGAATCAATTTTAGGGATATACATGAATATACTCTGTATATATTAGTATCAAAATCAAAGAAATGGTGAAGAGAAATCGGAATGGAATGGGTACCTCAAAATGCTTGGATTTTCATAAAGACAATTGGAGCGGTTGACTGGTTGTCCTGAGTGTGGCGATGATCAAAGAAAACTCCCACTCACCATTTGCTCTTATCAAAAACATAGAGGAAAACAAATACGCATAAAAAATCAGAAAGAAAAAAGGAGATTGTGTTAGATTTTTTGGTAATAGAAATAAGAGACCTCAGAACACATGTTCTTTAGTGGTTTTATCAACAAGGAGCTTTATCAGAGTTCCACAATATAATTTCATAATCATGGCATCACTTCATGACTCACAGATCAGGATTCATTTAACAACTTTCATGCTATAAAAAAATTCATATAGAAATCAACTAGAAACTGGACAGCCTTCAAGCAAAATTATTCACTACCTGATGACAATTAAGAAAGTAAAATTCAGAGTTTCCAGACAAGAAATAATAGGGACTTACAATATAACATTTATATCGAAAAAACCAACACCTATATTACTAGAGACATAATGACACCCGACTAAACCTTGAGAAGAATTTTCAAGTACAAAACA